TGTGAAAGTAATTTCGAGTTTTGAGTTTTGAACAGTCTCAACCACATCCCAGCGTCAATCGGCAAATCTATGCATCCTGGAGACAATACCGAAGTTGCAACTTCCCTCATATTCTTGAACCAATTCGCACCTGAAAAACAAATGGCACTTAATACAGTTTAATGAGATGAAACATAATAAATCATTTACATGAAAAAAACATACCCCAATATATATGTACAAGTAAATAATTCTGCATAGAAGCATAATGCAATATGTGACTCAATATAATACTTTTTCCTGTTCCAAATTTCCCATCTATTTAATATGTAAGGACTTCCTTATATTAATTATTGTATAATGTTGATGCTCTTTTTTAACATAAAATATATCCATGAAAACAGTATACTGATGATAGAAAAACAAAGTATAGAAAAAAACAGAGCGATTTTACAATCTTGCAATATAAAACAAATAATTTCAATATCAATTCATATCTAAATTCAAATAATTTTATATTCAACCAATTTTAAATAATTTCATATCCAAAAGGATACATAACACATATTTATTGACAGGTTTTGTATAGTCGGTTTGGCTGAGATAAGACATAACTTCGATCGCAGGTTGCCTAATCAATATCGCACACTCTTGAAAAGTGGTGACTTGCTTCATAAATAAACGAGGCAAACCACCATACTGAAAGAGTTGTTGCTGAATGTTTTTTGGCATTGTATAAAGTCTAGCAATGTGATCTGTATTATGATTAATTGGATTGTTCTCCGTTGTGCGAAACAAGCATGCTTGAAATGCTTGTTCATCGTTCACCTTAACAGCTGTACTGAATTTTCTGCCATATGTTTTATATATTTTCCTTAGAAACGAATCTGCAATCAGAATATTTGTTAAATCTTTGTGTCTCTTTAGAATGTCTCTGACCAAACTCAACTTAAAAAATTATTCTTTGATTAACTGAATCAACAGAACTCTTTAGTCAAATTTCAAGTTATACAATTCATTTAATTCGTTGTTCCTAATCTAATCTTTCTTCTTATGTGCCATACTGCAATAAACTAATAATTCTGTAATTACACTAATAAAGTACTATAGATATTACTTAACAAGTTAATCGATTAAGTCAATTTGAGTTTGGCAACCATTATTCATATGATGACAAATGTCATCTTGCGAATCAACTTATTTTCGCTGTAATTAATTGCACAGAATCATTATCACGTAAACAAAATTTACAAGAGAAAAAACAACTAGGCTACAGATATTACAAGTATATGTAGAATATTATTGATCGAACTAATATTGACAAATTAAAAGTCAACGTATAAAATCTTACATGAGCGTAAAGACATTGCGTTGTTTTTTTTCTCTTTCAGAACAAAGCACGTTTGACTGCAATTATCCTAAATTTTCGAAAAAATTTAATGCGACCCACGACGTTATATGCACATTTGACATAACCTCAAGTGTGCTTGTTCTCGAAATGTATTTAGTACAGTTCTGCGCAGATTCCAAATGCGGACATTTAAACATTGCGGTAATTTTGAAATAATAGCTTGAGACACCAAAATGAGTATTTGCCAAATAAAAATATGTAAAAATAATCACCAGTAACGTTGTTGAAATGTTTATATCAACTAAATAAGGAATCCATACGATTGATTTCAACGACTTTAGTGTCTGCACTTTTAAATTGCAGTATGTTGTAAGAAAAGTTACAAAGTTTTTGAGAAAGTTATGTATAAATATTTCTATAACTGTTATGCCACTAGAGTGTGCTCCTTGGGATACCATTCCTGATAAAAAATTTTTTATGCATAAATATATGTATAAATATGTATAAACATACATAAATATTCATAAGCATATATAATTATACATAAAATATGTCCATATATGTTCATACATCCTTCTTTCTTTTGTAAAATTACTTTTTAGTGTAATAAAAATAATAATAGTAATGTAAAAACATAAAAGATAATTAAAGAAATAATTTTCGTTTGTTTTAGAAAAAAACAAGTTTGGAAAAATGTAAAAAAAAAGTGCTCATACATAATTATGCACAATTTTATATATAATTATACATATTATTTATATATATTATATAAATAATTTTCTTAATCATTATTTATATATATTATATAAATAATTTTTTTACATTTCTTCAAATTCTTCTTGATTTTTTTCTAAAACAAATAGTGCGAAAATTGCCTTTTTAATTATTTTTAATGTTTTCACATTACTATTATTATTTCTATTACACTAAAAAGTAATTTTACAAAAGAAAAAAAGGATGCATGAACATGTATAGTTATATTCATATATAATTATACATATTCATGAATATTTATGCGTGCTTATATATGTTTATACGTATTTATATACACATTCCTGCATACAAAATTTTTTACTGGATCGCATTTAATCTAATTTGGAACTAATTTCATAAATAAATTATTAAAACACAACTGATAACGATTTTATTTATTATGCGAATAAGGATTTTATTCACTTTATTTCAATCGATTTCAATTTATCAATTTTTTGCTTGAGTCTGGTGTTATTATAGTGATAATTTTTTATTTCTACGAAGAAAAATACACAAGAAAACAGAACTAAAACGATCCCCGAGCAGTGACGAAACCCTCAATTTCTACCCACTTTTAGTAACACAAACATTTGCGCAATGATGTTCACGTTACACAGCCCGTTTAATCTTTCCTTTGAGTGTTTTCCATTTGATGACACAAGTCGACACAGGCGTTGTTCTATTTTTCTTGATATTCAGAGAGTGACAAAGATAGAACGACACTTGTATCAACTTGTGTCATCAAATGGAAAGCACTTTTTGTGTTTTTATAAATTTGACGCCGCTACAGCGTCGATCTATATTAAATATCTACTACTTATAAATATACGTTTTAAAAATACATCTATCCATGAAAAAAAAATTTACTATCAATTTATATATACATTTATATATCCATTTATAATATCCATTTATTTTAGTCAATTTATTTCACAAGGTCATTTCTATTTAAAAAAGATAAAGCATTTTTTCCTGGAAAGATACAATCTTTTTTATAAATATATATAATTATGTACAATTATATTATATATAAGATATTTTCATTTATATAAAATTGTATAAAATTATATATAAAACATTTTTTCCCGGGTTACAAATTTTGTTACAATTATAATTAATTAACTTATACACTACAAATTATCTGAGACATAATATTTTCCACGATTACAGTTAAATCGCGATTAATAATGTCAAAAACTATTAAACATGCAAAAAAAGATAAAAATTAACGCACCAACTTTATTTTCTTAAAAATTATTGTAAGTAATATCCTCGACGCGACGCTTTTGTCACAAATAATATTACACAACAATTTTATTATTGCATGTTAATTTCATATTATATCAGCAATCTAGAGTTAAAAAAAAAACAAAAAATCCTGTGTCATATATTAATTGAATTATTAGCTTTTTTACAATTAATTTCAAATGATAATTAGTCCCAATCTCCCATAATAATAAAGTAATGTAATACGTATATTATACGTATATGATATTTCAGATTTACTTGAAAATTGACATACGACAATTGAACAGTAAAAAATTAAAATTGTCGTATTACAAAATGTATTTAAGCATATTTTGTGTACACTAAAAAGAGTCTGATTATAGCTGCGAAATGTTGAGGGGTATAATACAGCTATAACATAAGCATATAATTTTAATTTTTTTAATATTTAGTACAAGTATTACCAAACAGTAATACTAAATATTTGTAAAAATAAAATTATGTTTAGTTATACTACTTGTAGTGACGGACTAAGTATTTTGCCGCCTCTAGGCACTAACATCTAGCCACCAGGTGACCTCATTAATTTATAAATTTGATAAAAGGAAAAATGGGCAAAAAAAAAAAATGATTTATACCTCCGCATTAGCTGGTAAAAATATTCAATAATTTTTAATAAGTGTATAATTTTTAATAAATTAAAATATTATTTTTAGATTAAAAACATTTATTATCATTATTATTATTGTTTAGATTAAAAAGCATAGAAATATACTCCATACCCCATTCCTATAAATAAAATGCAAGATTTAAAAAAATAGACATTTGTTTCATGCAATTCTTATAAATGAATAAAATGCATTTAGGATTGAAAATGATTCATTTTAACATTCATGAAAAAGTAACATTTTTTTGAATTCATTTTATTTCATTCACGCAATACCCGACCGCGTTCGTGTATTTACAGTCTTGTAAAATGTGTGTGTGTGTGTGTGTGTGTGTGTGTGTGTGTGTGTGTGTGTGTGTGTGTATTTGTGTGTTGATTATTTATAATAATCTTTCGCCAATTACAATAGAGCAATCACAGATCACATTGGAACTCCGCCGATCTTCCATAAAGGAAATAATTTATATAGATAATAATCCCATAATATTATATGTATATTCAATAATTAATTGCTACAAAATATACATCCGATCCTTATAAAGTCCCGCAAGAGCCTTTATATTATATTTTTTCTCCCGCACAAGATATTATTTATGCATTAACATTATAGTCGCTACAAAATATTATTTTTATATGTTACTAAATCGTTGTCCTCCTCGTGAAAGAAAATAATTTATGCATTAATATTAAGCGCTAGAAAATGTGCCCAATTTTTGAAAAAGGTGTGATAAATTCCTTGAACTCTACAGAGAGCAAAACCAGACGAAAGTTACACGCAAGGCCATTCGATATTAGAGAAGAGTTATAAAACAATCAGTTCATTTTTGCAAAAAGAGTTCTCGTCATACGTACAATATGTTGTTTAGGAAGATACAAAAGAATTTACATAAAGATAAGTAGATTACCGATATGATTTACAATGTTTTTATGTCTTAATTTCGTCGGCACTTGGACCGGCGATAATAACGCCGGCAGCGATAGCCTTTTCCAGCAGATGATCATTCCCGTGCTTCTTCATTGTATGATTGTTGTTCTTGCCAGTCAATACCATTAAATCCGAGTGTATCCTAAAGTGCAATCTAGATTCCAATAAGTAGCCCGTATAGTTTTTTCTGAAATTTAAATACAATTATAATTTCTAATGTAAAATCTATATTAAATGTATAACGTAATATCCAACCCAATCAGCAGACAATGTTTTTTTAAATGTTTTTTAAATGTTTATTTCTCATTAATTTTACATTTTTCATGATTCGTTTTTTTCAAAAATTCATTAATTTAACGTTTATGTAACGTTTATTTAATGTTTATTTTGAATTTATTTTTTATTTGAAATAATGATACGAAAAAACGTTTATTTAATTGTGTGTGTGATTGTTAAATATTTATTTTACATCAATTATATTTGAAATAAAGATTTAAAGAAATAATTTTTTAAATATTTGTGTGTTTAACGTTTATAAAATGTTTATTTTACATTATTTATTTTAAAATGTGGTAATAAGAAATATTTATTTCACGTTTATTTAACGTTTAGTAAATGTTTATTTCACATTAATTACTTGTTTGAAATAATAGTTTAAGGAAATATTTATTTAATGTTTATTAAATCTTTTTTAAACCTTTATAAATGTATGTTTTTTGCTATTTATTTATTTAAAATATGATAAAAAAATATTTATTTAACATTTATATGACGTTTATTATAAAAATACTATTTTGTAAAACTCCAATTAATAAAAAACGGGTCGGGATAATAAAATAATCACGGAAGAAAAGTTAACACAATATAATTGCGTTAAGTGTATTATATACGGACAATAAGAATTGTATGCATCGATAATTATAAATAGCGTGACGGATAAGATACAAGACTCATAACCCCGAGGTCTCAGGTTCAAAATTCAGCCAATAAGTGAAAAAGATTAAAATATAATTAAAAATTAGGGATGCGTTCCGAGTTATGCATGAAATGCATGATGAATCATTTGTCTTTGTTGTTTACCAATTAATAAAAAAAAATAAAACAATACATCATATGCTTCATGCAAAACGGAACGCACCCTTTAATTAATAAAATTAGTTATCTAATTTAGGCACTGTCGATGAAAAAGAATAAATTAAAACAAATTTTACATTGTTATTTTTTTTAATTTTGTTCAAAATTAATAATTTTGACATTAAAAAACGTTTTTTAAATGTTAAAGAAATGTTGCTTCAAATGTTAAATAAACGTTTTTTAAACATTAAAAAATGTTTCTTTAAACGTTACAATAAATGTTTTTTTAATTAAAAAAAGAGGACTTAACCCATTATTTTTAACGTTTTTAAAAATGTTTTTAAAAATGTTTTTTAAATATTTTTAAAAACACTTTTAAAAACATCGTCTACTATTTGAGAAACTAACTTAGCGTCTTCCAAAAAGCCTATAGCCAGTTGAATATCACCCTGATCTCCCGCCAATAACGCTAATTCCACGGTGGCGTAGGGAAATAAGTACGTGTCCTCTTTGACAGACTTTTCCAATTGTAAAACTTGTCGCAGACATTCCTCCGCTAGTAAAGGATGCTGCATTTGTCGTAGACAAGCGCCTTTCAGTAGCAATAGGAGTGCTTTGTTGTCTGCATCATAATTACTTTTCCTGCAGAATACATTACATATTTCTCTTATTATATAACAAGAGAAAAAAAATTAAAATTGATAAAATATTTGCTATATTTTGTTTTTTAAATGTCCTTTGAATGTACAATTCCCAAATTCGAAGACAGATTTTGGAAAGTGTTTACTACAAATTTTTCCATTTGAAGCCATTTATGTAATCATATATTTTATAATAAGCACTTATGTTTAAAATAAAACTTAAAATCGTTGACAAAACTTACGAGGCTGTTTGGAGTTCCCTCTCCTCTTCTTCTATCCTCTTGAATATATTTAACAATAAGTCTTGCCGTTTGCCTACTATCCTGAATAGATTCCATACGTACATAAGCTCAAACACGGGCAAAACTAGGTACTTCTTTTGTGCGAAATAACGCTGAGTCTTTGAGATTATAAACTTCTCCATCGGTAGCGACTTGCCAGCAATACGCTGCTTGTAGGTCGGTGCCAGCATCATTAGGTTGTCGACCAGCTGTTTCTCCTCACTCCAAACCGTCGGTTTCTGCATAAGCAGAATTGCAGCCTTTTGATACAAGTAGATAGTGCGCGACCAATTGGACTCGTTTACCAACATCGTGGCGTACGTGGCCGCATTGCTCCACTGCTGTAGCGAACAGTGCGTCCACATTAATTCCCAATAACAGATATGATGGAACTGCGGCCAAACATTCTGACTTTTCCACGACTTTATGTACCAGTCTACGCATTCCTCGAAATTGCCTCGCGTGAATTCTAGTCTTCCCTTGAAAAACAGAAACCACACACCGTTCGGATAGAGACTCAATTCCTGTTCCAATACTTGCTCACACCACTCTAGATCGCCGTCCGAGTGACTCAGCACGATGCAGACTATCAAATTGTAGGACAACAGAGTCATCACACATAGGATTTGTCGCAATCCTCTTCTTTCACCGTAGCCTGCTTTCAATTCCGTTAGACCATATTCCTAACGATTAAAATTTAGTAAAACTCTCTGCTTCTCGCGTTATACTATGTACTTAACATATAATTATATAACATATCCTATAATCACCTTATCGCCGGAGAACCCGATAAACTCTAACAATTTAATAACACGCGCTGGTAATAATGAGATCATCTAGAACAAAGTTTGATTTAATAAAAAAGTATGTAATAAAAGATAATATATATTGCAATAAAAATATATACAAACCAAATTGAACGCGCCGATGCCCATGCGAACGCCACTCTCAAAATGCACTTTATGAATGTCGTTTCCCCACTTCCGGTTTTTTAAGATTGTCATGCATTCTCTGCAAGAGATAATAATTAATTGTTAGAGAAATAGAAAATCGACGACCCTCGTTTCGTTGTGACTTATTTACTTGTACGACAGAAAACAGGTACGAATTTTCAGTCCTGCCTTGACAAAGCTGACCAGAGTTTCATCTTCCACAAATGTGAGCATCGATTTTAAAAGGAGCGATTCGGCATAACAGAGTTCCGCATGCACCTCCTCTGCAAGATTAATCCTCGGTCATTCCTTTCATGCATTATATATATGACAGCTATTTGACTATATCCGGGTTAATGTTATTATATTATAGTAAAATTGAATCTTGTAAAATATATACAGGGTATCTTATAATTAACGATAAAACTCGCATAGGAGCAGAATGGATTAAACTGAGTCGAAAAGTCCTCAACCATTTTGCAATTTTCGCAATAGTTAATAAGATATTAATTATTAATAATTGCCGAATATTGGTTTTCAATAATTATTTGAGTAAAAAATTATTAAAAACCAATATTTAGCAATTTTTAGTAATTAATATCTTGTAGAGGACTTTTCTTCTCAGTTTAATCCATTCTGCCTCTATGCAAGAGTTTTATCATTAATTATCAAACATCCAGTATATATGCCTTCCCTAACAAAAATTTTTCTCAGAATTTTTCATATAATTTTTCAGAATTTCTATATAATTTTATAACTTTCTCACATTTTTTATACAAATTGGACAGTTCTCAGAAAATCTACATCTTTTCTCAGAATGTTTCATATATATTAATTATGAAATATCGTAAGATTTCTAAGATTTTTTTATAAGTATAATTTCTAATAAATTATTATAAAATCTAAAAAAATTAAAAAATTTTTTTTTTAATTATGGGATGATAAATTTCAGAATATTTCAGAATTCATGAAAAATTCTAAGAGAAAATGTAAATTTTTCAAATATATCTGAGTATTTCTGAAAAATGTTCCAATATAAAAATTATGAGAAAAATTTTCATCAGGGTTGGCAACAATTTTTTTTTAAATAAAGATCCCAATAACTTTGAATTTAACATATTATGTTGTTAAGATCATGACTTTGTATAATATTTAAAATACTTTAATGACCATTCGTTTCTTATTAAAAAGTCATTAACAAAAAAGTTACCAAATATACGAGTCATAAAATGAATCGTAAATGTAGTGAAGAAGCGCACCAAAAGATACAGAGGTTTAGGTTGAACGTCGCTTTATGTGGAAAGTTGTAAACGCATCGTGAAATCGTTATAATTTTTCACGCAAAGCAAAATTACACATAGATTTATAACTTTCAACGTGAAGCAAAATTCTTGACTTTACAACTTTCCATGATAAAGAACGTTAACATTAATAATTTTAACCTTGATTGTATTGATCTTTTGTTTTGAGTTTTTCGTAAGTACTTTAGACGATTGTGATCAGTACGTATCAGTTAATAAGTTAGACAACATATGGAGATACATATAATCAAATATTCCTCGCTATGGCATACGAGATTATCATTTTATACATTATCTTACAGAATTTTTATTTAAAAAAGTATATAATTGAAATGAATGGATTAATGTTTTTCTTACATTATAAGTTCTATGTAATTTTTTACAGTATAAGTTACACTGAACGATTAACATATTAATTAAAATTTTTTGCATACGTGCTATATATATTTTATTATTTTTCTAATATATTAATTTTACTTAAATTGGTATATTTCTCAAAACTTGTTTTGCTAATAACTTTTTAATAAAGAACGACCGATGACTAAAATCTTTTAAATGTTGTTCAGAATGATAATTTTGACGATACATATATATCAAGATCAAGGCCATTGGAGATAAGTCCTCTGATCTTCATTATTACTTTTATAATTTCTGTTAATGCAATAAAGGATTTAGGTAATTGCAAAGATTGTATAATATTGTAGATTATACATTCTATTACATTAATAGAAAGGCTAATAGGCATATGTTATACAAGAACTTACTGTTAATTGGTGTCACTCAAAATGTAAGATACTCGATAATATTTTTTGTAAATTTAAATCTACAGATCGTGTTAAACAAATGCTTCAATTTACTCGATATTAAAAATGCTGTTACATAAATTTGACGTCATGATTGATTAGATAATACTCGTTAAATGCTCAATAATCATTGCAGATATTACGTGTTGTTTTAACTATTATATATGTATACACTAGATTACCGTTCGTGTAAGCGTCGTAGTTAATCTTCTTGACTATTTTCCCAATGTTCTGCGTAATACTGATGTGCTTTCGGTGTTTGGAACACACGCTCATACACTGTTTCAACTTCTCTGATGCCTTCGCGATGTGTTTCTGAAAATTACACATAATACAATTGTTAAGGAAGATAGATTTCACACGGCTCTAGTCCGATAAATAAAAAATGCTTGACAGGAAAAACGTAATAAATATCGAAATACTTGTTCGAATGTAAGAATCGCCTCTAGGAACGCGAATACGCTAGTCCCTAGAGAATGGTACATGCTGCTATCCGCCCATGGCTCCATGATTTTTTTCGCTTCATCGAAATCGTTGTTAAAGAAACAGTGAATCGCCTTTTTCGCTTCCATTATCGCTGTATCCAAATCCATAGACGCAAGTCTAAATGAAGATTTTTCAAACGTGGCAACGTTAAAAAAAAGCATAATAAAATAATGTGCACATAATTATGATACGCATTATAATCGTGGAAGTCTCAAGCGAGAAATTATTAATCTTTCCTCGTAAACATCAAGAAAAGAATGCATTGAAGAAAAAAAAAAATACTTTAACCAGAAATAACATGCAACAAATTATACGTAATAATTATCAATATAATAGCGAGTTTTTACTCTTCAATAAAAAGTTTCACAAAGCAAAAAAAATCTTTCACGTAAAATAATATGTAAATAACAAGTAATACGTACTGTGGTAATGATTCCTGAGCATCTTGAAACTGAAATGCAAAAGTGCATATAAAATATGTATATAGTTTTAAGTAAAAACATAAATTAAGTACAAAACATAAATACTCAATAAAATATTTACCTCGTCATCGCCTTCAACGTCCGACATTTTTAGTTGGTATTAAGAAATCGTTCTGCAAAGATAACATAATTTTGTTATTTTATTCTTATAAAATTGCTCTTATTAAATATTCATTGCGTATATATTTATTAACATTTTTATCTTAAATTTTGTATATATTGAAAATTTATCGGACAGTTGTACTATTATTATATACTGTCTTAAGAATTTTGAAATATATTACATTTAATGTAATGCGCGCGTTCTAATTTTACATTAAAGAGAAACGAGCGTCACAAAATAAAATTAATGTGAAATGAAAAAATATTGTGAAAAATATTACATTTAGAAAGTTGGACGATTTTAAATTAAGTTGCTTGATTTTAAATTATATTTAGAAAGTCACGAAATTAATAATCCGTTAAAACAGTATCATAACTTACGGAAAAATAATTTCCAGTTTTATCAACTTGTTGCGGATCTGAATATGAATAATATATATAATCAGCTGATAATACAAATGCGCGTGATGAAGTAAAGTTCACTTATGCTAGAAAATTATTTCAGAGAACCTGGAGTTTTTCGCAAAAACGCACATGGAAATATTCAAGAAAATGTCACCTTGAACTAATAAACTATCCTAAGATAAACGTGCTAAAATAAACGTTACCTAATAATTAGTAAGCAGCGATATAAATTATATGGATGATTATAGATGATAAGGAAAACGAGCACAAAGAAACTTTGCCTACACAATCATGCTGAAATTTCACGCAAAGTTTTTACAAAACGGTGTTCTTGCCTCGCAATTTATTCCGTGATAAATTTAATTTCAAGTTCGTCCCAATCTGTTTGCTGCTATATTTATAAAGCATATATGTAAAAATAGACGCCGTTGTGTCCGTTTGATTTACATTCGTCGTCACAGGAATCATTATCTAAAGAAATTGATGTGCTTGAACGAAAGTTCGTCTCGATTCCAGCGCATAATAAACAATTTAACTTTCTTATCCTCCCTCCTCAGGCTCTGTTCACCAAGTTTCACTTTGCCGCGATGCGACGACTGCGAAATGGGGCTGCGAAGCCTCGCAAGCGTTGAGGGAGCGACGAAAGCGTAACAAGGTGCTGCATTAAGCGGAGACCATCGATATATTTTTTTTTTTTACAAAATCTCCCACGAGTCAAAACATCCCGACAAAGACAAACGATTCATTTCACGGTTCACATTTCACCTCCTTCGTAAATTGTCCCAATCCCCGTGTTTTCGCAAAGATATTCCTAGCGAAAATGAAGATTGAAGCGTAAGTCGAAAATAAGGACACAGAGCAAACAGGGGAGAATAACAGAAGTGTGAACAAATCTTTTACACTGAGAAAAAATGATTCATTTCATTAACTTAATTTAGCTCGTCTTTATTTTTTTCAATATTCGACTTACGTTCCGATTTTTATTTTTGCTAGGAATCCCATACAATATGGACAAGTAACATCTGTTGTTCAAATAATATCATGTCTTCTGAAGACATCCAGAACACATCCTAATAAATAAACCTCAGTGTTTATGTTGAAGTACAAAGAAATTTATCGTTAGATTAAATTGAGTCTTTCAATTCAAAAAATGTTTTTTTATTTTCTCCAATTTGAAGAATAAATCTACACTCGATTTTTTAAAACTCGACATGTAGAACACTAAAATAATAGTTAATATTAATAGTTAAAAAACGGCTCTAAAAAAGAACTTTAAACATGCTTTAAACATGTGTAGAAAAAAAATTTCTTTTTAATTGAAAGACTATATTTAAGCTAAAATTAATGATTTCATTACACATAAGCGTTATTCGTTTTGTTTCTCGGGAGCTGCTTGGGAGTCGCTCCGAATAAACCCAGCGTACTTGAAATGTAGGATTCGTACTATGTACGACATTCGTCATACGACGTCCGACATTCATCATAACTATGAATGTCAGATGACGTAGTATGACGGATGTCGTACGTAGTGTGAATCCTGTATTTCAAATACGATAGATTTATTCGGACCGACCTCGAGCAGCTTTCGAGAGACAAAACGAACAATACTTTTGACATAAGAAACAATTGTAAAAAGTTTAAGAAAAACCGGCGTGTAAGATTCCCTGAGATTTACTTGAAAGGAAGTTGCGTCTCTCGGGTGAAGTGTGTGAGGTATGTCCTTAGGCTTTTCTAAACCGAAATCCTTATCCACTGCACCCTTTCCAGGCCGGTCGCTCACTAGGTCGTTTTAGGATGTGAGAATTCGCTCGAAGAGAATAACGAGGACGGCTCTGGATCGCGAAGAGGTCTCACGAAATCGCGACGAAGTCGTCTTTGAGACAGCCGACAAGGAGCGATTTCGGATCTTTCGCACGTGGAAAGTAGACTGTCACAAAGAAAGTATAGGCAGGCTAGACCTACATTTCCTAAACCCGCGCATGGCACATCAGTGTGGAGCGGAGGAGGAGGAGGAGGAGGAGGAGGAGGAGGAGGAGGAGGAGGAGGAGGAGGAGGAGGATGGAGAAAGCGCGCGCACTCGAATCCCGCGGATATTCGAGAACGTGAAGTTTACGGCGCGGTGGTAAGGAACGTCCGATAAAAACTATAATACGTTATCAATAATCTTCGAGGGTGATACCGCGATGCACGTTCACCGGTGATCATTTTCACGATAAGATGTTTCGCGATAAGATGTTTCTGTTTTGCGAAGAAATAAAAGAAATAAATAAAAGAAATTAATAGATCGATAAGTCGCGGAAAATTTTTCTCCCCTCCTAGGACGACGATTACCATTTCCTACGTTATACATCACGCTGAAAATTAAAAGGCGAGGCTAATCGAGATATAATTAGATACTTAATGATTCAAAGAAGAAACGGAATTTCTTATGATGTGTCAGACTTTACATGCGTTATGTGCATTGCGAAAAAAAAAATAAGATTAATCAATTTCATCGAAAATGCAATAAAAATCAAGAAAAAATTTATACGTTTGTTTTGAACTTCAGAGGATCAAATTCTGCAGAAACACCTTAGCGATAACTTAATATTTCCTTCTATTCAGTTTATATCGTACGAGGCAAGAACAAAGAAAATCTTGGCAACATATCGTGTAGTATGAAAAAATTGGGTAACCGATTTTTAATGCAAATTTTATGTCAAGAATGTGAATAATATATTTTGCAACATTTATTTAATATTAATTATGTCCATTTCTACCATTTCATATAGATTAACTTTAATCTCGGTTTAACTGACTTTTCCTCTTTTTCTAGTTCTAAGAATTACAAAAAAATAACGATTATTAATTTAGTCTGAGATTAAAGTTATTCGATATTGACAGTATTCATGATAATGAACCCACATTAACGTTAATAAATACAGTTTATTTCCGTCTAGATATACAATTTCACGCGTTCAGAATAGACATAATTTGCCAGAAAGCAGACTTCAGGTGATATTAAAGCAATGATAATAGTTTGTTGACCATACGCCGACCTTCTTTGCCGGCTTTGTTTCCGAGATAACGAGTTAATTATCTCGTTATGCGTTGAGCTGCCATAGATAATAATAATAACCCTCTTTTCTAATTCTAATCATTTTCCGATTCCCGCACAGTTCTCTCGATTACGCGTTCGTAATCGTATGCGTATACAAGCGCACGTGCATGATCACGACAGGTCGATCTTCATTAATAATTCATCCGAAAATAGAGCACGGTGCGTGAGTGCATGTCCGCCTCTGCCTATCTCTCGTTAAAAACGGTTAGAGCCGCGCAAGCGTTAGGCGTAGAGCGCGGGTGGACGTGAAGAAAATCGATCGTTCGTTGTGAAACGGAAACGGAGTAGACTGAGTGAAGCAGGCGTGGGTTACACCGTCCTGGCTGTCAGGCATCCCGCGTCATCCACGAGTCCAGGAACACGTGAGGACACGTGGGTGAATCAATGAACCGACTCACAACCGACCTAGACCGATCGCTCCGCGGAACGCGCGTTATGAACAGTACGAACAATGCGGCGCAATGCGGCGGATTTCTCGATTCCTGGTGCGATCGCCTTCGAACTGCGTGAAGCCGGCAGATTACCGAGCAGCGCCGAAAAACGCCGAGAAACGATGACGAGCGCGAAGCGCGTCCTGTGCATCACTGACGGTTGACGCCGACGAGCGACGGGCTCGTCGTCGTCGGCGGCGGTGGTGGCAACACGTGACCTCCCGCAGATGACCTAGGCGTCCAGGATCGTAACAAAGGCGAGCTCACACCGTCGGATTAGAAGTCTGTATTCCTTTTCGAAGAAAATTCTGAATACTCCTTTTGAATACTAAGTTCACAATTTTCCTAGAATGCTATGTGAATATTATTTATCCTTTTTAATATTTATATAACATTCTGAGAGTATTTTGTAGAGACACTATTGCAATAAGTTGGAGTAAAAATAAATAGTGTTTGTTTTCCTCTGATTTATTTCACTTTAATTTACTGCACTGGTATCTGCGAGCTCAGATTTTTTCTTGGAAAAAAAAAACAGCTTAGAATTTAGGACCTAAGTTAGAGGAAAATGATGATGGTTTCAATTTTCAGATTTTGTTGATACGTCCGCTGGATTAGAATTTTTTTCAAAATGAGTAGAGAATGGTACGATTGATAAATGGAGAATTTCTATTTAACATAGAAATAAAAATTGATCGTTTGATTAAACTTTAGTTTTCTGATGATTTTTTCCTTCTCTTGTGAACCTTTTGATGCTCATTGTTACATTCAATAATCATTAAATTAACAATACTTTTGAAATTTCTATTATAAAATTATTATATCTGTTACAAATATGAAAATTAAAAAAAACTAAAAAACTAAAAAAAATTATAAAAAACAGAATCTACGTTCAGTAATTAAAAACTTGCTAAGTTAAGAATAAATATATATAAAATTTGCAACGTTCAGGTTTAAAAAAAAATTAATTCGTCACTCTCTTTTGCACAAAGATCTAATTTCTAATAATGTTATATTAACCGGAGATTACAAAATATTAGATTTCCCAAAATTTCTTAAATGTATATATAAAAGGCATACAAATAGGTCATGACTATATATTGTTATGATCCTATGTGTATATTATGTCTATGATCTATTGTCTATAATCTATCGCTGCTTCAGAAATATATTTTTTCTTCAGATACTTAATTCTTATCTCACAAATTATATTATATCACAACAAAAATGTAAGGGACTTTTGAGTGAAAGAAGCTAAAGATAACGACCAAAAATTTGTCAAAAAATAGTCTTCTTTAAAGCAATAAGCTGAAGACCCAAACCGAACTACTTGCATTTTATGAATTCTAAGGCAAAGAAAAGAGAATACATAAAATATTCTTGATTCCGTAAAACACATATTGTGCATGTATCAGATTATTTTTATTTAACAATCAGTGAACAACATTAAAATATATTAAAATAGAAATATTTTTTCAATAAAACAAATATTTGCATTTGATAGAGTACACTTGTAAAATATATTGAAAACTCTACTTTTATTTCCCAATAGAAATAAATAAAATCATATTTACCTCAATTCGACAATTGTTATATAGCCAACTGTTTCGTTTTCTGGTTAAGCATATAATTCAATTTCAAATATAATAATTATTTATTGACTATCGATATAATTAAGGGAGTTCTCGGTATGTTTCATAAATCGATAATTTTATCAATTGCAAATGTTGTTTTATTAAAAAATATTCACATTTTAATATAGTTTGCAATTTTCCTTATGTATTTTCATCCAAGATAATTACAGTGAATATTAAGCAGTGAGTATCAAATAAAAAATTATAAAAACTGTGCAACAAAATGAGGTCGTACGATTTTGAATAAATGAGAATCGACGATTTCATAATGAACTTTTCTAATTATATGATTGCTTGAGTAAATACGTAAAGTATAATGTACTTACACACTCCATTACAAAGTATATGCAATTCTAATTATAGCCTTTATTTCGAATATGCGAATAATAAGCCTATTCTACAATTACGTAAGCGTAGTTGTAAGTGGTTGTAGTTGTAAGAATGACATTTTCTTCATATTTTCTTCATATTTGACTGTGATTGATTAATTCTTACAACTACATTGCTTACGCAATTATAGAATGAACTTTAATTCTAGCTTTACGAATAAGCATGTATTTTCTAATCGCTTATTATATAAGGGCTTCTTACGAACAACTTTGTAGCGCCACAATAAAAAACGACGACCCCTTCATACAGAGCTATGGAGAAAAGTGTTGCAAATATGTTCACTTTTCTGTAGCGCTACAGAATATATAGTGAGAGCAAAAAGTATTCATACAAGGAAATTTGTTATAAAAAAAGTCTTATTTGTAGAAAATAAACATTAGCAATTTTATACAATGATTACATTTTGTTCTAACATAAACAAACGAGCTTCGCATCCTGTATTCTTGATTTTAGAAGCTAAATTTCTCATCTATACGAATACTTTTTGAGCATTCAAACAATATAATTTTTAATTTTCGCTTATTTTTCAGATGATATATTTTGTATAATTAATACACATCTTTTTGATATATATAATTTTGAGAAATATACAATCTATTTTATTCTTTATGAATAAATTATTAATTATTAACAAAAATGATCGTCAATTAAACGTCTAATTGACATCAAATTGATGTTGAAATCATCGTATTTATATTGATTCGATATCAATTCGATGACCCATTTCTCGCTGGATAATTTACATTTTAAAAATAAAATTAAAAAAAAAATATTTTCTCGATTTGTACGAATACTTTTTGCACTCACTGTAACTGTATGAATATAGTGAATGAATGAGTTAGCGTTTCGATTGTAGCGCTACAAAGTTGCTCGTCTGTAAAAGCTTAAAATCCACGTGTTTCCCTAATTGAGAAATTGTTAAAAATCGATAAAATCTTATCTTGCTTAAGAAACAAATCATTCATCTCACTTTTATTCCGTCTTCTCACTCTTATTTTACGCAATTCTTATACCGACAAAAACTTGTTATTGGCAAATTATTATTAGCAAAGCCTTTGAAACACGGATGTGTTTGTAATCTTTATGTCGATGTTAATAATGTGTTTTGAGAAAAAAAAACATTCTCAGTACATTATACATATAAAGTTATGTATTAAATTGCAGAGTTGGAAAGCGTTATTTTTTTCCACTTATTTAAATAATAAACATGACGTTGCAAATTTTTTATAAACTAAATACTAATAAGGTTGTGCCAAGGTTGAGAAAATCGACTTAGCACAATCTTAGCGTTTACTTATAAAAACTTGCAACGTCGTTATTAAATTACTTATTATAAAAAGTAATGGAAAAGAAACGAAAAAATTAAGTAACGCTCTCTTCTGTTAAATTGTTACATACAACATTGCATATGCGACAGTTGCACTTTGCTTTATGGAAATGATTTATGATTCAATCAGGAAAACAAAATTTGCAAGATATTATTAATCAACAATTTCTCTTCGTTCTATAAGATTAGATTAATTTTATCTTCTGCGATCCAACTTACTCTTCCTCTTTTTCTAATTTTTAGAACAAGATGAAAAGTATGTTAATCTTTGGGAACAAATATTTTATATATAATTATATATATAAAATTTTACATACATAAAGATTATGCGTTTCGCAGATTTTCTCCGTATCCAGATCTTTGGAATAATTTTACATATAATTTAATATAATTTTATATGTTAGT